CATTGTCCTTACTTTTTTGGACCAAGCAAAGCATACCTTCCGATAAAGAATTATTGAAGTCATTCCAAAAGTGGTGACCAATCTCCACTTCCCTCCCATGTGGGTGTGATACAAAGTTCAAAATAGAAAGCAACCAAAAAATATTTGGGACAGGATTCCTTGTCGTACGACACAACACACCAAGCCAATAGGGGCACTCCAACACACTACAACTCATAATCATGGGACTCTTTTGACGCCACATTTGTTCTTCAAATAATGACACGTACCCACTTTACCTCTCTAATCACGTTTGGAAACTAATGTGAGAAAGGGTGTATGACCCAACAACCAAGGATACCCTAATTAGTTAATTCCCTCTAGCACCTCTCAACAACCAAGGATACCTTAATTAGTTAATTCCCCTGGCAACCCGTAGGCCAACTCAACCCATGAATGGAGGAAAGTTTTTTTTTTCTTCATTTTTTTTCCTGTTCGTTTCTTTTATTTTAAAGTTTTAAAAATATAAATATCATATTTTCTAAAGTATGCATCAATTTTATAAATTTTATTTTACTATTTTTTGTAAAATTCTAGAAAATGAAAGAAATGGAGAAAAAAATAAATGAAAAGGATCCATTTTCTTGAAAACAGGTCTAGTCACGCCAAAAAAAATAATATATTCATAATGATTCATAAAATTCAATTCAGTCTATTTTCAACCCAGCTTATCCTAGTGAATCTTTCACTTATACCTTTCATCAATTCAATCCTCTAATGATCTACTTAACCATTTGTTGCTATATTTCTATTATTTTAGTAAGGTATTATTTTTTGTAGATAAAAATAAAGTTAATATTAAATAAAATGAAATTACTGTAAATTTATCTACTTAAGTTTTCAATGAAATTTAATATTGGTGAACAATCTCTCTAATGACAAGTTTTTTTTTTATCCTTTTTGTTTTAATTATTTAAAATTGTATACTTTTTTAATTAAATTTAAGGTTATATATATGTTACTTAGTCAATTTTTTTATTTTAGATTGAAGGTTATTTCATATTGAGGTTTATTTTAAATTAAAGTTTTTTAAAAAAAATTAGGTCGGTCAACCTGTTTAATCCATGATAAATTAGGTCGAACTAAAAATTTTAATAAGTTAATTAATTTAATTAATCCATTTAAAATGTGAGTTGCGATAAGATAAGTCAAACAAACCAAACTAATCTATTTTGATAATTCTACTTTAACACTTTTTGTTGAGATAAAAATTCATATTTCATAGGATATTATGAATAGAGATCATAGTCCTTAGACTTTGAAGTTGGAGTTCAATGATGCATATGGAGCCATTTGTTCCTGTGGTTCACATATCTAAATAGAAAAGAGTTCATTTACTATGGTGCACATTTGTTCCTCATTTTCAATAAGAAAAAATCATACACTTACTGGTCACATAAATCAAAATCGTTAAACAAGATTAAACTATTCATATCTAATTTCTTTTCAACATATCAGGTGAGAAATAATGCTTTAAATTTGAGTAGTGTGATTAATCGTTTAACAACTCCAATACACGTAAATGTGTGAATGTAACATGTTCATTTCTGTCATTTCACGCAATAGTACTAGTGTGTATATTATACTAGAATATGTAGTAGTAACCTAGGATGCATGTACCTTATTTTTAATCTTTCATGAAAACGAAGTGAGGCAGCATTATTTATAAAACAACATTGCCAGTTCCCTCATGGAGCTATTTAGCATTGGCTAGTTGAATATCAGGTGGAATACTCTATTGCAAAAGCTGAAAGAAAAAAAAAAAAAAAAACTTCAACTTTCCACACAGAATTAAGCACTACAAACGTCGTTTTCAAGAATCACCCATTGCCATCAACATTCACAAATAATCTTGATCGCACCATAAAATGATTTTGTTCGAGTTGTTCTGTTGTTTGTTGACTTTATTCTATAAACAATAAATGGAAAAGAAATCAGGTAAATGAAAGGAAGAGATACATTGAAAAATTAATGTAAACAAAACACTATCCGATTCAAACTACCACAGCCACCACTAATAATAAAATGTATTATAAATCAATTTAATGTTATTAAACAAATTAATTAATCTCTCTGTACTTAATATATAATTTATTTTAAATATAATATCAATACCAATATACATCTACTTACACTAAGAAGGATCGTATGTAGGAGAGTGGTTTTACTATATTAAATATTTTTCGTCTTTATAAATATATCAGTTTTTTTTTTTTGCTTTTTGTTATTAAAAATTGTTTATATAGTGTATAAAAAAACTATATATCTTGAAATTAATGTTTGAATCTTTTGTTTATCCCCTCCTATTATCTTTTGTTATAAAAAACACTTATGTGACTTTATTCAGAATCGATCACCAATTAAGTGTTTTTTTTTTCTCACAAGGCGTTATATGTTAAATGAGATAGAACACATAATTGTTTATGTAGAAAAGTTAAAATATGTAAAAAGACCAAATTCAGTTCCACTTTGATAGATTGAGTTATATGTCAAATATATTTTTCTTATTAAAGAGAACGGAACAGAATAAAAAGAGAAAAAAAAATTGCAACTTCCATCTTTGGTTGTTTATGAGGATAGAAGCCAAAAAGTTAAAAATAAAAATAGGTGGGTCCCACTAATTTTAAATTCTTCTTAATTTGGATAGAAAACTAAGAAAGCATGTTTTTAATAAATAAAAATACAAAATTATTGATACTTTTATGAACAATTTTTTTATTAGGGGTATTTATAAACAATTTTTTTTATTAAACACTCTTCTTTCTATTTATTTTTTTTCATTTTCTCTCATACCAAATAATCTAAGAAACATCTCACTTTCTACTCTTTTTCTTTCTTTTCCTTTCTTTTTCGTAAAACAGAGTTTCATTATCTTTTTAATTTATGGTTGGAGAGTTGTGTATACTCTCAATTTTAGGTCAAATCATTTGCATCTTAAATCCATGATTTTAAATACACTTATCTAATGGCCATTGAAATCTTGGCCTATAAACGAATATAGTAGCTGCTATATAAAAATTTAATAGTTAATAAGACAAGATTGAATCAATTTAATAGTCTATCAACTCTCTTCATACCATCTAGTGGCCTTCATATGGCTGGAACTGAAACCGAAGGCCTTATGATTGGAGCCAACAAAAGAAAAATCAATTAAAATATGAAAGTTTGAATTTTTTTAAAATTATATTATTAATACAAAATATTTACCAATTTCGTTGGTGATTAATATTCATCAAAGAACTTAATTGAGCATTAATAAGATCTTTTTTCTTGACTATATTTTTTCATAAATAAAACTCGAATATAAAATCTTGTTTAAAGAAACATAACTCAATATTACTTAAATTCAATAATTAAAATTAAATATTTATTCCATTATTAAAAAAAATATCTCTTGCAATAATTATTTTATTTTTTATTTATATATTTTATTTTATTTTACTCATAACCTTATTTTACTTGGAATTAGGTTGTGGAGATTTCTTGGATTCTCCGATAATGTAACTCAGTGGCGCACAATCTTGCTTGTTGGGTGCTCAGAACTTGGTTGATATGGTGAAATGGAGGAGTCCTCCTAGTTTCGTATTTATGGCTTTAGGAGTTGATTCCTTGTCAAGTCTTTGTTTTATCTTTCATGAATTTACCAAAAATTACTTTTTCTCTTTTTTTTTATCTTCTTTTGTTTTCACTTTCTAAATATATGAAATTCAAAAGTAAAAGTAAAGTAAAAATGAATTGAAATAAACTTTTAATAGAAAGACACTAAGTGATGAAACACTGAGCCCCTGTTTGTTTAAGGGGATTTACTGTTCACGACGAACGAAAGGTGAATAAAGTTCACGTTTGTTTTCGCTGATTTGCACAGAAAGAAAAGCGAAGAAAAGTGGGAGAACGTCCTCGCGAAGTTGTAAAGAAAAGAGATAAAAGTCACATAAGAAATGAGAAAACCCGATAATACTCCTGCCCTAAAGGCTGAAAAGAGATGAAGAATGGAGGCACATAATCGATTATGCATGGCACATAATCGATTATGGTCGCATATTTTTGCTTCCAGGCAAGCCTAGAACAAGCCGTTTCAAAATTGGAACGGACCGTTCCAAATTATTAAAACAAGGGTAATTTAGTATCCTAGAACGGACTGTTTCTTAACTGGAACGGACCGTTCCAAACTACTAAATTGGCTTAAAAACCCTAATTGAGAACGGGTAATTCCAAATTAGTTGTTATGGGTTAAAATAATGTTAGAAAATATAATTATCATAATATATTTTGTTATTATTATTTATTATTATTATTATCATTATTATTAATATTAATATTATTTATTATAATTACTATCATTATTATTTATTATGATTCTTATTATTTTTCTAATATTTATTATTATTATCATTATTTATTATTTTTTTAATAAATTATACCTATTAATATAATTTTATTGTAATTATTATTATTTATAATAAATAATATTCTAGTCATTTTTAATCTAAAGATAAAAGTATAAATTACATATTAATATATTAAATTTTTAATTTTTATTTATTATATCAATTAATTTCTACACAAATTCTCACAAACTTTTCACTATCTTTTTTTTAATCCAAACAAACTCACTTTTCAGTCTCTTTTTCTTTAAATCTTTCTTTTTTCACTCTTCTAAATCCATCCTTTAATCCAAACAAACCTTAATAGTGGTAGGAGAAGTCTAATGTGACGTAAGTGAAAATTGAAAGTAGAAAGGGTGTCGTAATGGAACCGTCCACTTGGCACATATCGCCCGTTTCCAATTATGGAAACACAACAGTCACTTTCCGCACCGTGATTGGCACACCTGGTCCATGCACTCTCCCCCACGTGCCAAGCGCCACGTCTCCCTCCCCTCGCACGTGCCTCACGTCTCTCCCACCCACAGTTCCTATAAAACACCACCTTCATATTCACCACTCTCTCCAAACCACACACCACAGCAATGGAAACCAATGGAGGTTGCTGCATCGCCAAGCGCGCTCACCACATGTCCAAGGTTCACACCATAATGCTACGCTACCGTCCCATCGCTCCCAAGCCTCTCCCCGCCGCCGCCACCGCCGACGTCCACGCCTTCTCCAGATCCAAACCAAAGCAAGCCAAGCAGCGCACCAGCCGAGGAATCCGCCGCCGGAGAAACGCGCCTCCTCCTCCGGCGCCGGTGCCGGCGGTGACTCTCCCGCTCCTCCCGGAGACTCCAGATCCGAAGAAAACCACCGAGGAGGCAAAGAGGAAAAGCCTCCCGGTGTGGCTTAACTTCGAGAACCGCGCTTGGGAGAAGCCGGATCGTTGCTGGTACGGGACAGTGGTGACGGTGGAGTGCGTGACGGACACGTGGCAGCAGCAGGAGGAGGAGGAGTTAGGGTTAGGGTTAGGGAAGAGCGACGAGGAACGGAGAGCGAAGCTGGAGGAGGACACGTGTCCGGGGTTTATATCGGACGGTTACGGGAGCGTGACGTGGACGAATGGTGCGTACCGGGAGACGGTCGGCGGTGGAGGAGTATGGCTTGCGATGAAGGCGAGCGTAGCATATCCGTACGGAGGGTTCACGTGTAGGGTGCGGGTGCAGTACGCGTGTGGGAAAGAGAGAACCGTGCCATGTGATGCGTGGAGAATGGACTCTGGTGGCTTCGCTTGGAGATTAGACGTTAAAGCTGCTCTTACCTTGAGCTTAGGCTTAGCTCTCTAATAAATCACATAAACGATGTCGTTTCCTTCCCTCGATTTAGACCATATAAACTGTGAATATATCATATCATATATGTATATATATGTACATCATATATCATATATCATATATCCTAGGGCTAAGGTAGTTTAGCTTTTCTTGATTGAAACTTGTAACTTAGTGCATGTGGTTTTGGTGATCGCCTGATCTTAATTTGAACGTGAGAAGGTGAGTTAATTACTCTGCGTGAATCTTATACATGAGATCTTATGTGGAAGTGAAGAAGGAAATGGAGGATAAAGTATATTAGTATTAGTAGATGTTATAAAAATTTTGATGGATGCGTTATTTGTTGTTATTTAATAGAAGTGATTGTATGAGGATGTGATGGGTGGGACAGATGGTGGAGAAGGGTTGGGGTTGGGAGGAGAACCTGTAAGAGTGTTGCAGGAGTGTATTTGGTTGGCTGGGGTCAGGGTCATGGATGGTAGAAAGATTGAAAGAAAGATATGCTTTATATATTTACTTGACATTCCAATATGCCTCGGAAGTTGCTGATTGCACCACGTCGCTGCATCTCAATTCACCATGCATACTTTTTTTTTTCCCTTAATTATCTGCATCGCCTTTTTCTTTCTCGTTTTTGCTCCTATGGGAAACACTACTATCCTTTCCCCGAACTCCAACATACAAGAATACATCACTTGTTCTAGCTGTTTCACTACTGCTCCTTTCGTTTTTGCTGCCAACTCCAATTCTTATCTTCAAACTATTGCACTATAGTAAGTAGTAACACTACCTTATTATACTCGCTAATTTTATAATATGCTTTTCTTTAAGGAACTGAGTTTAAGTTTTATTTTAGTATTATCCATTTATTTAATGTAAATATTATTAATATGTATTTACATATATTATTTAGATAAAAATTTAACTCCAATGAAACAATAACATCGATCATTCATCAGAAACTATAACTAATTTTAATTCTTTCTTGTGATCGACCTTTGTAGTAACAAATATCACAAAACAGTATTTTGTTGAATGAACATGACACTACTAAAATTCATGATTCGAGTTGGATTATAAATGAATTTTAGTCAAATCAATGATAATATTTAATTAAAGTGTATAATATTAGAAACCGTACCTAATAAGTAGATGTAAGAAAGGGTTTGCTTATTAAATGTAAAAATGGGAAATGTTAGGTTGCACAAAGAAAAAAGCAAAAAGAGATGTAATTAAGCCAGGGTAGTTTATTTGGAAAATTTTGTATTGTTCTCTAGCAAAAGCAATACCTGTCATCTTTGATAGCTTACTAATATTTTGTGTTATGTGAGTTTTCCCTCGTCAGCTGCCTAGGAACCACTGGATAGAGGAAAGCTATCTCTCTCTCTCTATATATATAGTCTGAGTAAGGCCAAAGGTGTCTCCTATTATTTCCTTCAGGAAAAAAGTTGGTAAGCATGTAATACCGATCTTAACAACAAAGAATCTTCTTGCAAAGAAGTTACTACTCACTATTATGAAAATCAATTTCAATACAATAAAAAATGACTTTTATTTTGTATGATAGTGGTTTTAGAATTTTTCTTCAGCAAGCAAATCTATTGAATTTTTTTAACTTCTTATCTAATTTAGTTTTATTTATTATAATTATTTATAAATTAAATATTAATATTTAAAATAATTTAATAAAAATAAAAAATACTACAATACAAATTATTTATCATAAATCTAAAATATAGTTTATATAATTAAAAATGTTTATGTATACTTATTTTAAGTATAATTATATATTTAAATATAGTATTATTTATATAATTTATTTTCAATTTTAATTGCATATAACAAAAAGCTTAAATATATTTTTAGTCTCGCAAGGATAAATTTATTTTTTATCTCTCAAATTTAAAATTGTTATTTTTAGTTTCTATAATTTTTAAAAATCTTATTGTAGTTTTATAGATCACCAATAACATATCTGGAAGTAATATATTGAGAGAATTATGCAATATTAGTGGAATTTAATGTGATATTTTTACTAACAGAAACATCAATAAGTAGATTTTATACAATAATATTTGACAAATTTTAAGTATAAGGACTAAAATAAGATTTTTAAAATTACAGAAATTAAAAAAATTAATTTTAAATTTGAGGACATAAAACACATATTTATCTAATTTTAAAAGACTAAAAACATATTAAAGTTTAGGATTTAGGGTTTAATCAATTAAATAACCAATTCATTAGTATATATATTTCAAACATATCTTCTTATTGTAAAGATTCTTGGGGAAAATGTTTAATCTTTGTGTTTTTCTTTTATTTATATAGTTTGGAGTGTATTAAAGACATTAATGTTCGCCATGAAAATTATTTGTCATTTATACACCCAAAATTATAATAATGAAGAAAAAAAATGGACAACCAGAAATAAAGAGGATCCAAATTCTTCTTAAAAGCTTCTTGGTGAACATTATGGTTCTTAATATGATTTGTCAATTCAAGCCTTCTATTTTCAAATGGCTAAATTATACTATTTTTTTATTATTTATTTTTAAGATTCAATTTAATTCTACTATTTTTAAATAATTTAATTTGGTCTCACATTATTTTTAAAATGTTCAATTTACTTCTCTAATTCTAAAAAAAATATTCAATGTTGTGCTTTCTTTTAATTTTATTTACATCATTCGTATCAATTTGAATGGAAGAACTATATTAAATATTTTTTAAAAATTAAAAGATGAAATTAAATTTTTTAAAAATAATTAAACTAAATTAAATCCTAAAAGTAAACATAAGTTATTAAAATATGATTTTGCAGTTTTCAAATTTAACTATTCAGACTTATATGCAATTTATGTGAGTTCAATTTTGGTACAAGCTAGACTACAAGCTCTATTGGTAATAAAACTGTCAGTCGTTTAGTGTATTCTGAATTGGCAGTGATAATTTATTTAGCCAATGTTTTTATGAAGTGGAAAGAAATAGATGAAAAATAAGGAAAAAGGAAAAAAGAGAAGAGGAAGGAAGAGAATGTAATCAAGTAGATAATAGAGCAGAAGTTGAAAATGTCTGGAAAGAGAAAAGTAGGAAAAAAAAAGTGAAAGAAATATTATTTTTTTAATTAGCTTATACTAGATTGAATAAAAAATTAATTTAATATTATAAATTATATTACACTCTTTATCTTTATTATGTTGTTTCACATTTTTTTTATATAAATTAAGTGCATGGAAAAATAATAAAACAGTTCCAAATACAACTAAAAATAATAAACTAAAAATTTCAACATAAAATAAAAATAAAATCTGAAAAAAATGACAAAAGGTATAATTTTAAAACTATAGAAGGAAAAAAAAAATTAAAACAGAGTGAAAACTAAAAAGAAAAGACATAAACCACATCCAGGTTTACTGCTGCACAGTTGAAAAAAATGGAAAAAACATAACTTATCTTTCAAAACTTGAAGCTCCCTCATTGTGACATGTAATTTTCATACAATTCCCCTCACATTAGAAGGGTAGTTTATTTTGGTGATCTCACTTTAATTATTACAATTTCTTAATCAAACACTATATGATTCTTCACTTTTACATAAAAAAATTTCTTCTATTTTTCTAACTTTCCTCTTATTAAATATAGTGTTAATAAAGAGTAGCGACAAATTCAACAGTTCATATAATAATATGTACAATATAATTTTTTTTATCTCTCACTATTAGTAATAAATATATAAAGTAATGTGATAAAAAAAAAAATAATATAGTATAAATTATTATACAAATATCATTTTCTTTACTTAAATGCCATTGTGATGATCCACTAAAAGGTTTACTCTATTGTACAGTGTATAGTCCATTCCTACTGGTAGAAAGTTCGTGAGATTACATGACAAGACACATATTTTTTTTATTTCTGGGCCTTGGCTATTTTTAACAATATTCAACTACCTTCTGAATTCGTCTGGGTGTTTTTTAATGGTACCCAAAATTTTCAAGGTATATGTTATTTGCACATTTTTATGAAGTTCACACCTGTATATTATTTTATTAAAAAGAATATATTACCCCTTCTCAATCTCGTACTCCCTCTCTAGATCTGTTTACTCCCTTCTCTTCTCCCTCTCCTTCATGTTCTTTCCATTTCCATTTTCCGAGGTGCATGTACACAACAAAATTTGATTGTTTTGTAATAATTAGAAGTAAAGGGTGTGTCCTCATTGAGTTTTAGCCATTAAATATATTAATAAAAAATCAACATACGAGATTGTTTTTTTAATCTGTAAGGTAACCCACATAATCGGTAATTAGTTTTTTCAACTCATCTTGTCGAACTATCGTACGTTACTGTGGCCGCACGTGCAGTAACGGAACTTAGAGTTTCTAATTTATTTCTTCTGCTCGTAATCTGATTTTGTTATGGCTAGTTGGAGAGAACAATATTTGTTCCATGGCGACGCGATCGATCCCTCGAACGGTGAAGGTTTCGAAGATTTCTCTTTGGCGGACAGCGACGGTGCCTTGTCACTATGGCCGCACACGCAGCGGTGTCGTCACCGCGACTGAACGTGCAACAGCATCGTCGCCGTGACTACATGCGCGTAGGGATGACAAATATACCTGTATCTGTCGGTAATACCCGAACTCATCCCGACTTTGACGGAGGAATACCCGGTTTGACCGGGTACGAGTACGGGTACGGGTAAAACCCGATATATTAAATCGGGTATGGGTACGGGTACATGTATGTACTTACCCGCTCCGTACCCGTCCCCGTTTCCATTTTTAATTTAATACCCACTTTTAATTTAATTATATTAAATAATTTTAATATTTTTTAAGTGTGATTATTTATTATAATGTGAGATAGAGAAATAACTTAATCATAATTAATATAATAAAAAATAATTTAAAAATATCATTTTTTTTATAAATAAAAAATAAATAAAATTAACGGGTACGAGTACGGGTACGAGTATACCCGATACCCGCGGAGACGGGGATGTGGATGAAAATCATATATCCGACGGGTACGAGTACGGGAACGGGGATGAGTTTAACTCGCGAGAACGGGTATCATAAAACCCATACCTGACCCGCCCCGTTGTCACCCCTACACGCGCACAGCGACGACAACATACCATGACTCTCATATTTTTGTAATTTTTTTAATATTTTTTCAGTTAAAACCCTCTTATTCTCGATCATTTTAGTGCCTCATTCATAAGACATATTTTTTTACTGCTTTATGTTAGAATCGTCCAAAAAAGAAAAGAAAAATGTTCCTCGGGCATATTATATTAATTACAAAATGAAAACTTGCTCTTACAATGTAAATTTGTTCGTGTGATGTCACATCCCTTAAACTTGTCAAAAGAAGTTGGGATGTGAACTTAAAAAAAACAAAAAAGGTGTGTGAGAATTAGAAAGCCTAATTTGAAAGTACCAAGGATACATGCATATTGGTGGACCTTGATGCGAAGGGTAAAACATTACTTGGGCTTGTAAGGATATATGCACGTTGATTGTCCTTGGTACTAAGGGTATTTTATTTTATCTGTTAAAACTCTTATACATTTATAACATTAAATATTATATATTTTTTTCTATAATTAACATATTTCAAAATAATAAATAATAATTTTTTAATATATAATTAAAAGTTATAACGCTCTCACGACCCATATTAAAAATAAAGTGATATTTTTAATTGTGATTTCGTGCTCAAAGTAAAATAAACAATAAATTTGATGTTATTATGATGATAATAATATAATTTGGCTAAATAAAAAATTATTATTAGAAATAAAGTTTGAAAAATAATTATTTATTATAATAAATTATTATATAAGAATAATTCATAAAATTATAGAATTGTTTTAAATTAACTTTTTAATTAATACCGCATTAGAGTTGGTATATTAATAACTATCGTATATTTCTTTCTAAGATATTTTTTTTTTGTAAAGATAAGAAAGATTATAAAGATGATTGCAGTGAGGATTAAACCTAGATCCTCGTGCTTTTAACTACCCCAACTTCTACCCGACCACTAGGCTAACCCTAGTGATTTTTTAAGATACTTTAAACTTAACAAATATATGATTATATTAATTAATATGATAAATATGATAATAATACATTATACACTTTTTAAAGTTTTACTATTAACTAAAATTTAGGCTTTAAATGTGTTTTTATCTAATATGATTATAAGTAAAATGTGTTTTTATTTTTCAAATATTAAAACGGTGTGACTTTAATTTCCCAAATTTTAATGAGTAATTTTAATTGTTAAGTGTTTTAAATTGTATAACTTTATTTTCTTCTATTAAAAATTAAATAACTTTTGTTGATATAGGTTGATGAATTATATGATAAAAGATATAAAACTGTGATAAATGACACAAAAATTGACGTGTTAGTGATATAAAGTGATAATATGACATAAAATTAAGAAAAATAATAATAAAAATATCAAATATTATATTTAAATCTCGAAACTTACCTTAAACAACAATACTTAATCACTATTCTAAAAAAAAATTATTTGAAATATAAATGAAAGTCATAATATGTATACATTGAATAGGAACCATAACTTCACGTATAGTATTTGTTATTAATAAATAAATAAAAAACTACAACGTTATTAGTATTATAATATAATTGACTAATTAATAATATTAATATTAATAATATACCAATAAATGAATAATTTAATAAATATAAGCATATTAAAGATGGCTAATTATAAGCATATGATATCAGTATTGATGGCATCTCCAATAGAAGTAACTTATTTGAGTTGATTCATGAATTGAAAAATGAAAAAAGTGGTCTCTAGTGTGTCATGTCAGCATTAAGCAACTCAAATACAAATTTACTCTAATGATAAAAAACTTTAAAAATTCAACTTTTAGAAATTTTTTCTAATCATTTATGAATCAAATTTAAATTTTTATAAAAAAGGATAATTGTACTACAATGAAAAGAAATAAATTACGAGAAAAATATACAATAAGTAGATATTAAAAATAAAATAAAACAATAGTAAATACATAAACATTATACAAAATTATTTTTTATCATTATTATTTTTGAAACGTTCCAAAATATGTTCAATAAGATCTGCTTGAAATCTGGTAAGGAATGGTTGTCGGGGCTTCAGTGCTTCATGGGATAAGCAATTCCCATTGGAGTTGCTCTGAGCTTCTAATGTATATTTTAGTACTTAAAATTTATATTGCTAAATAAATTTCTTTTAATGTATTTAAATTTTGATAAAAATACATCAATATTTATTAATCTATATTTATGATTTTTTAGTTAAATTACAAATATATTAATAACATTATTTATATTATTTTATCAACAATATTATTAATACTAATAATACATATTTTTTAATTTAGAAATATTAAATATATTATTTAATACATAAATAAAAATTATAATATGTAACTTAAATTAATAAAGAAAAATTATTTTTATTCATTAGTATTAAATAGACGAGAGCGCAGCATATTAACCTCGTGTATAGATTTCGTAACCATTGAATCCAAAGACTTAATTTTATCTTTTATTCCACAAGTAATATTTTTAAAATAATGATTAACAAAATTATGACGTTGACGATATTTAAGATTGAGCATGAGTCAGAGTGACCGTGCGATTAAGATTGAGGCGGTGGAGTGAGAGGCGTTGGATGTGAAAAGGGAATGAGAGTTTAAGAAGAGAGAGGAGGGATCGATCTGAGGCTTTGGCTTTGGCGCAATTGATTGAAACATAAATAAGAGAAAGCGTGTGCAATTGCAATGGAAAGCTATCGCTGTTAGGGTTTCACGCACATTGCATTCGCCACCTCTCACCTCAGTTCTCGCTCTAAATCCAGGTTCTCAATTCCTTAGGGTTTCGCACATTTTCCTTTTCCTCCCTCGAGATCTAGGGTTTATGCTTCCATTTTTTCATTTCCTTTTCCGCATTTCTTTCGTTTTTTCTTTCTCTCCTCGATTATAAATAATGTGCCTGCATTGCTCACTCCGGACTGCGGGATAGGATTTTGAGGAATCTCGCTTCATTCGTCCAATATTCATCATGATTGCTCTTTCACCGTGAAACCGGAAACAGCCCCTCATTTTTGTCTCGGTTAGGGTATGAGACAAGTACACCCGTCACTGGGTTTTATGATATTTTGCTTTAAGATTTGGAGGATAAGACTTGATTTGTGCTTCTGGGGATTGGGGCTTTTTCAGAGATTGCTGTGTGGGAGTGAAATCTCTTCTCGGAGTTGATATGTGCAGTTGTTGGACTTTTATCTTATGGCACCAACTGTACCTATAGAGTTTGCTGGACAAAAGGAATCCAGAAAGTACTCTCATTCGCAGGTCATGGGCAAGTCTAGGAAATACTCCAAGGGTTATGCTACTGGCTTTGTTCCCGATTTTCGGCATGCTGTAGAGACTATGGGTGAATCAGAAGGGTTGGGTAGCTTGGGTAGGGTTGATTTAGAGAGGACGGCTTCCGCTGATTCTTGTGCACCCAAGAGGAAATGTGTTGGTTCCAATGCTGGCGGTTATGGTAGTTTTGATGTACCGTTTCAACTTTTCTCCTTGTCCAAGATGTCGGGCTTTGAGAGGAAGGATCTGAAACTGAGGTTGGCTTGGGAGCTTGAACAAGTGAGGGAGCTTCAGAAGAAATACGATGGTATGAGCTCTAATGTTGTTGGATTGTCTCCTTCCAGTGACATAAGGAGCTGCAGTGCTGGACAGAAGAGGCCTAAGTTGGATAGCCAGCATATGACAACGGAAGGATCGATGCAGCTGCATAGTAAGAAAAGGCCCTTACCGGGGCATAGTGGTCCCAAGACAAAGAAGAGTATGTCTGGGCGTTTTGAAAATGCGAAACCTGCTGCTGCACCAGTGACTACTTCGAATGCTACATTTATGAAACCGTGTGAGACATTGCTTAACCGATTGATGTCCCATCAATTTGGTTGGGTTTTTAACACTCCAGTTGATGTTGTTAAATTGAACATTCCGGATTATTTCACTGTCATCAAGCATCCAATGGATTTGGGTACTGTGAAGAGGAGAATAACTTCTGGTGACTATTCAAATCCCATGGATTTTGCTGCTGATGTGCGGCTGACTTTCTCAAATGCAATGACATATAATCCACCAGGCAATGATGTACACATCATGGCAGATACCCTTAGTAAATTTTTTGAAACGAGATGGAAGGCCATAGAGAAGAAAATTCCTGTTATTGATTGTGTCCCATCTGAGCCTTCTAGACCTACTCGTGTGGAAACAGAAATTTCTGACCGAGTTCCTCCCACAAAAAAGAAGAAAGTAACGCCAAATGATACTAATGTCAAGCCAGAGCCTGTTAAAAGAATCATGTCTGCCGAGGAGAAGCATAAATTGAGTATAGAGTTGGAGTCATTGATTGGAGAGCTCCCTGACACCATTGTTGATTTCTTGAGAGAGCAAACTTATAATGCAGGGCAAACCAATGATGAAGAAATTGAGATTGATATCGATGCTCTCAGTGATGATACTTTATTCAAACTGCGGAAGCATCTTGATGATTATATACTGGACAAGCAAAGATCCCAGGCAAAAGCTGGACAGTGTGAAATGGAGGTCTCTCTCTCTCTCTCTCTCCGTCTTTGTGTGTGTAACTAATCCAATTGTCAAATTTATGTGATGCTCCTTCATATCAAATTCGATATAAATGTTGAGATTTATATTAAAAGGTTGATCAACAAGTTTGTAAATTAAATGATGTAGATCTGCTTTATGATAACTTTCAATCTAACAATTGAATTAATGAAATTTGACATTCATAAAAAGTATTCTGTGCAATGTGTTAAAGAGTCTGCTTATGTATGCATTATTGTGTACTAAACTATAGTTATTATATGCATGTCTATGAATCATCTGTGGTGTGTACCATTTTTGACTGACAATTTTCTGCTTTCTTGATTTTTATGCAGCTTGTGAATGAATCAGGATTCAGCAATTCATCAATTCAGCCATGCAAAGGTATATTCTGTTTCTTGTGTTGGTAAGGTGTTTTGTATCCTTATTTTATAAATAATTGTCACTAAGTTTTGTCCTTTATTTCTCACTGCAAATGCAGGCAATGAACAGGTTGTGGAGGATTTGGACACTGTTGGTGGGAATGATCCTCCTATTTCAAATTATCCTCCATTAGAGATTGAAAAAGATGGAACCAATAGAAACAGAAAATGCAGTAGCTCAAGCAGCTCTAGTAGTGATTCTGGCTCTTCATCCAGTGGTTCGTGTTAGTGTATACTTTTGACTGTTTTCACTCTTCAGGATATGCTTTTCTGTCGCTGTTGGCTTATAAATTCAGTAGACACTGACAACTCTGCTTATTTGGCTCATGATTCTGGCAATAATAATCACTTATAAACGAATTCCTTATGTTGGATTTTTATTCTTCTCTGACTGGTGCAATTATGACAACAGATTCAGACTCTGGAAGTTCACCTGGTAATGAGTTGGATATGATGCCTAAAGCATCAGAACCTCTCAGTGCAACCAAGGTAATTGGGATACATATGGTATCAGATGTTGAGTTATTTTAATAAAATGTAATCTTCTTCTGGTTTGATCAGTATCTTTGTTTTAAAAAACTATGAATTGCAGGAAAATTTAGGATCTGGCTTGACTTCAGATCAAAACAAAGGGGATCCTGGTAATTCAGAAACTGGAAAGGGTGAGTACCAAAGTTGATGGCAGTAATCATGTGCATATTATGGTTTGTTGGCATTACTTTTGATGAGGATGCCTCAGCCACTGTTGCCTCTTTCTATATAGATTCAACAAATGTGGGAGGCCAGGTTGAGCAGAGTTCCCAGACTAAGCCTGTTGCTACTGAGCCAGAAAGCCATCAAGAGGGTAAGCTTAAAACAGTGGAGAAATCTGTCTGCTGTTTCTTTTGGGGTATAATCTCACTGTTCATGCTGTAACATTTTAGGGGAGAGTGCTGCATCTAAGAGGCAAGTCTCTCCTGAAAAGCTCTACCGTGCAGCTTTATTAAGGAGCCGTTTTGCTGACACCATACTTAAAGCTCAAGAGAAGGCCCTTGAAAAGGTTTGTTAAGGGGGTAATGTGTTGCAATTTTAATTCCCTTCATTAATAGAACAAGTCTATTGGGTCAAACATAGGCATATGAAAAATATCAAATGTTGAAATTACCAATTTACTATCACATTGTCTTTCACGAAAGCTTTGACAACATCATTGCGAGTTTTAATTTAAAACCTATTGTTTTAACCCTGTCTTGATCTCAGGATGAAAAGCGAGATCCTGAAAAACTTAGGATAGAGCGAGAAGATCTTGAAAGGCGGCAGAGAGAAGGTGTGTTTGTTATTTTAAATCCTGTAATATTTGTTCTCCAAGGTCAAATGTCCTTTCATAAAATACTGCTCCAGGTTTTCAAGATTCAACTAATATTTATAATTTTATTTATGGTGCTTTAGAGAAAGCTCGGTTGCAGGCAGAGGCCAAAGCTGCAGAAGAAGCTCGGAAGAAAGCTGAAGCAGAAGCTGCAGCCGAAGCCAAAAGGAAAAGGGAACTGGAAAGAGAAGCAGCCCGTCAGGCTTTACAAAAGGTGATATCAAAAGGAAAACACAGTAAGCTGCAAGTTCAGCTTCCTTGTATGTTTGAACTAAATAGTTCTGCTTGCAGATGGAGAAAACTGTTGAAATCAATGAGAGCAGTCAATTTTTGGAAGATCTAGAGATGCTGAGTTCTGTACATGATGAACGAATGCCAAGTTTCAAAGAGGAGACAAACGCGGATGAACCTGAAAATGGATTGGGCAGGATCAAGCTACAGGGAAATCCCTTAGAACAACTAGGATTGTACATGAAGGCCGACGATGATGATGAGGAGGAGGATGATCTGTCACCGGCTGTAGGACCATCAAATGATGTGGAAGAAGGAGAAATTGATTGATTTGTTCCCCTTGATTTCCATTATTTTGAGCAAATTATAAATGGTGATTCTTGGGAGCAGTTGCTGGACTGGGGATCCTACTTTTTTTGTGGCTATGGGTTGCAGAGTATAATCATTATTTGTATGGTCTGATTCTGGTCCACACCTAAGTTTGAAGATGGGATAGCAAAAATTTATAGCAAATGAGTGAAGATTGAATTTGTTTTTGCTTTTCTGATTAATTTTTGGTTTTAATTTGGGCAATTATTTCTGAAAATGTGGATAGCAAGCTCGCAGCCCCCGTTTATTGAAGGGCTGGATGGAAAGTTTGTATCGGTCAGGATATGTCCAATTTTGCTTGTAAAAAGGAACTCATTTGTAAGGAGTTCTATGTCTGACCTCAAGTAGTTAGATTCTCTGACAATGTAAAATATTTTAGAGCCAAGGTAAAATCAATTCTTTCTATTTATTTTTTCCTTGAAGTGTCTTTTAATTGAGTCTAGTGGTGTGAAGATTCCTCTTATTAATTTCCTTACCAGTGCTAGAAGTTAGGCAGGTGGATAATTTTGTCTTGGTTTTCTTGAGTTGCGAATGATTAAAATGCTAGTAAATGGTCATTTAAGTCCTGAAAGATACCGAGCTAGTCATATCTGATTTTAAATTCAATTGTTTTGAAAAGACATTTGAGGTTCATGAATCTTCAATCCTTGAGATTTGGGATCTGGTGTTTTTTGTAGCTGGGTTGCAATGATTTGGGGCATCAAGGATAAGGATTGCTGTCTGTTCGGTTGGCGTAGATCTGAGGTTATATGCTAATCTGGTGGGGTTGAAGTGGTTATGGAAGAGATGGAATTGAAGGTTTAGGTTGGTGTTTCATGAGATTGAGTTTGGTGATCAGTATCTTTGGGAGTCTGATCAGCCATTTGTTGTGCAGGCAACATACCACAATCATTGTAACTATTAGCCACCGTATCAAAGCCACGATCCAAAGCAAGTCTTGGGAACCACCTCCATCTCTATACCAGGAAGTTTATAGGAACCAAAATATATTATTATATTGGTTCGTCGTACATCCCAGCACTGCTAGCCATGCCTTAAACCTGACCTTCCTCCACGTTTATTGCATATCTAAATAATGCAACAGATCATACTTCTCCAAGTTTGTAGGATTAGTTTTCTTGCCTGTGATGTGTTGGGGTTTGTGTGCGGAAGTTTGGCTGTTGGGGTTGAGACAGATGTAGCGAGGGGTGATTTCAACTCGAAATTTTTGGTAAGGCAAGGGATGGTGGCTGGTCTGGTTTTCCGAAAAGGAAAATGATCTTTCATGAACCACAATGATACACAATTTTCACGCAATGTGCATTTAATGTGATATTTAGTACGCTATACAACTGTTTCAATCAGAGTTAACCAGTGATTATTAACTATAAACCAGAATGATAGATCGGGGATTTAAAACCAGAATTATGTGGTTTATCTTTCAGGAACTAAAATGATCAAATTTCCAACCTGACGAACCAAAATATTATTATACTGATTCTTTGTGCAACACTTATACCTCACTGATCCCCGAACTTTTTTGAACAGTTTTTGGAATTAACAAAGATCAAAGGAGCAAATATATCACGTAGTTTTTTATTACATATCTTGAACTGGGGCTACCTCAGCTATTGCGGTCAATTACGCAAATGATAACTTGACCTTGGTTGGCTCTTTTCTTTAGCAAATTTCAGAAAAGTGCATGCATAACAATTTCCGTAAACATCACAAATAAATTATATTGCCGTGGTGATTACATTGTACACTGCCAAAATTTATGCACATTTCTCAGCCTAACTGTACATTTTACTCTAGCTTGACAATGATGCATTATAGCATCAATCCTCAAACATGCCCTCACCTGATATTGTAGAAGACTCGGTCCCATTAACATGAGGTTGATCTGAGAAATTACTACCGAGACTGTTCAGAATACTGAAGTCAAAATCATCATCGTCATCGTCATCTTTGTCATCTTCATCATCTTCACTGTTAATTTGGTCTTGTTCTTCAGACCGGGCTTCTCTTTCCATCTGTTGCTTGATGCAATCTTCGTAAGACATTTCATACCAAACATTGCCCTTACCGACAATTTTTTTGTTATGGATATCTGTCATCCGCTCTAGAACGCTCTTTTCTGAATTATTGGGTTCTCCCCAGTAGTCATAACGATACAGAGGACTTGTGGGATCATATTCATCATTACCAAAATAACTAGCATCCATATACCTTCCTGGCTCTTCCAATGGCAGACCAAGAACTTTGCGACTGCAAGGGGAGAAATAATAGGTAAAAATCAATACATCATAACAGGGAATTAGGTCGATGAGTATTAACATATTAGTACCAACTGATGTCTCTAATCAATGCTTCTCTTTCCTCAAATGATCTACGCCAATGCATGTAGTCATACTCGTCCATCTCAATATTGCGCCTCAGGTGAGTAATTTTGTATTTCTCACCTCTGTCCATTGCTTCCTTCCTTAGTTTAACATGGAGCTGTATGCCGAAAAGGTAACATCTCAGATTTCAAAAAGAAAATTCAATGAAGATATCGAATAACAGGTAAAGGAACTTTTGTACAATTTGTGAAAATATTAATAGCAAAAATTATGATTATCCATTCGGTAAAATTATTTTTCACAGATTAAGCTATGATCAAAAGGCTAAAATGAAAAACAAACCCGTCTGATTAACAATAGATTTATAGAATCCTTAAAAGTTCACATTTTGATCAATAGACAATATGAGAGCAGAGAGCACTTAGACTTGCAAGAAGGTGCAAATCCATATGGGAAGTAGGAAATTTTGATGAATCACAGTATGTAAATGTGGGTATAAGTGAACTTTTTTGGGGTCACTTTCATTATGTTCAACAAAATTGCATCCTTCTACAAGGTGGGCCCCCTTTAACCAGCTGTGTAATATGCATTACCATCAATAACAGAGAAAAGCTAATAGCAAAAAAGGAAAGCTGACCTCACGCTCAGCAAGTGCAGCCTCCAAGTCAAGCTCTTTGACACTTGTTTTCTGCCAAAATGTTAAAAAAAAAAAGGTAAACAAAATAGGTAAGCAACCATATGAATGCAATTTCACAATAGTACTCACCAGAGTAGTTTGTGGTACTAATGTATTCTTATAAGGAACTTTTGTATACTGAACAGCATTTTGTTCATCAAAATCTTCTTCATCAGCCAAGTCTGACAGCGTTTTGCCTTTATATTTATCAGGATTAATCGCCATATCATCCAAAATCATTTGCTCAGCTACATTAATTTGCCACAACTGAAAAATAAAGGCAGTTGGTGATAGAAAATAAAAATCATCCAATAAAAAAGAATTTAAAACATGGCTATGATAACAGAATTGTGACAACATACAATGCAAATTGTTAAATTAGATATTTTATTGACTGTTGCACAGCTTTTATAAAGCTGCTTTATTTTGTATCCAGTTTCTGTGATAGATGTCATATGCTGTATTTTCTTTGTTTTTTGTCCTTTTGTATTCAGACCTCACACATGTAAATATACATTAGTGAAGAATGTAACTCATTTTTTTCTCTCCCTAAACTTCAACTTGGTTAGTAAGTGCCTTGGCCTTCAGAGTTCAGATTATATCTTGTATTCAGTGCTTTCATGTAATAATGTAACTGAAGCACATATATCTACTTTATTAGAATGTAGTAATTTTATCATGTTAATGAACATTGCTTATGAAGAAGATCCAACTTGAACATCCATCCCTTCAGGTACTTCGGCAAAGCTATGGGTGGATATGAAACAGGTAGAGATTTTTTTGGCTTCACGTTTTTGCAGGTATGAATAGAATCTTGTATCGAACAAATTAAAAACGAGGGTGTAACCAGGTTATGAACTAAAAACAAACCCATACACACATGGGATTCGGAACCACTGTGTGCTTATAGGCAAATGAATTCCAAAAAAAAAAAAAAAGGTTGTCATGACCTGGCCTACCATGATATGTATTGAGCCAGATATTTTTGAATGGGATAAAAATTTGAATTTGAATTTGAAGTTAAACAGAAGCATGCAAAGCAGGAGCTAAAAATCCCACCACAGATGATCCTTGCAACTACTTATACCTTTTCAACATATGGATGATTTGATAATAGAGGTTCTTCCTCTGGTTTGTCTTCTGGATCTTTTCTAGGAACAGGAGGCCGTCCACAGTCACGCTGCAAATACAAATGTTAAACTTTTGTTACCTACTCTACAACAGTATCAATGTAATACAGATGTTTAAGAAGACTAAAGTCCAACTCGTCAATCTTCCCTAATCTATTGTGTTAAAATCAATTGTTATACAGAATCCATGCTTTGTAAATAGTATATCATCCGAGCATTAGCAGCAAGTCTGCATGATTGTAATACAGCATTATGGAAAAAGATACTTTGCCAGAACCAAACCTCATGAAAATACTTTGAACTAAATAAAACTATATTAGATATCGACAAATCCATAGCGAAAAAAGACACATTTGAATGCTTTTCCAGAAAGAAAGCATGAAAAAGATCACCACAAAGTTATTGTGGAAGAGCTTCAAATGAATGCATAATATCTTTCTTATGCAGAAAGATTGGGTGGTATGTCATAACAAAGGGAAAGTTGCAAACCCGTAATTCATCATCATTAGTATCTTCATCACGACGAAATATTGGTGGGAAGTCAAATCTGTTAAAGCTGAAGTATGAAAATGAAGCAAATATTAAATTTACTACTTGAATGAGATCAAAATAATAAAGATTAAACTATGTACTGAGAATGAGTTAATGAAAGTAGAATGTCAAAAACACATAATCATACATCAGATGATCTATATTTGGCTCAAGAAAACGAAGTTCAATAGGAAAACGGAAGCGATAAGGATCTCGCTTTGCCTGCGAAAAAAAGTAAATGCAAATAAGTGAACAGATGGTGAAATAAATCCGTCTATGCCTAAACTCAGAAATAATGGAAACCAACACTATAGTGATTAAAACCCATTTGATGTCAATTTTGGTCAGGAAGGAATTTATGGATACAGAACAAGTCATATAGCCTTGTCCATCCTATTTTTATTGTCTATGAACAGACGTAGAAAACTGACATATGGATGCACAAGAAAAAAGTTCAGTAACATATGGCCAGTGGCATGATTAAACCAATGGTGTATTAATGCAAACTCTGAAGCAAGAGAGTTGCCCTAGCTTAGAACCAAAAATAGAAAATAAAAAAATAAAACAAAAGAGCCAGCAACCACTGAGGGTTGTGGTTAATGGTCCACAACCTACACCAAATTCATGGGGGAGGCAGGGTGCCCAGGTTTGGTCCTTAAATCAGCCACATGGTGGATAGGCTTGATATAGGATCCTTGGTAGGGTTAAGCATATCCTCACTTCCCTCTGGGATAGAGTCAGTGATCGTGAACTGTAAATTCAACTATAACTGCCACATCTAAAAACTTGGGACAATGCCTCTGATGGGTAGGTTGGGTTACCCCAGCTGTAGAGGCCACCAACCTGGAATTCCATTTTATGTACCCTCCCCTAAAGAGACAGCAAATGCACTTGAGAGAAATTTTACCTTGCATAATACGTTCAGCTAAAGTTTCTATTTCAGAACATCAGTAAAACAATATGAACAAAAAAAATGCAGTGTTGACAAGCTTCCTACCAATGAATTGACAGAGACTTATATTTGGTGAGTTAGTATAAGCTAAAAGCTCCATCTTTATTTTAGAAAGTAATAAAAGGAAAGTTATTGGCAGGAATAGGCATAATAATTGTCATTATTAGTAATATATTACTATCTATGGTCCTTTATATAATAAACAAATAGGTGCACTTTTATGGTCATAACTATAATAATAAAAAATAAAAAAAATTGTTTTCAAAAGTATTAATTGCTAATTTTCTTTTATACCCTTAATTTATTGTGAAGTCTATTAATGAGATACTTACTCATTTCAGATGCAAGTGAATGTATTCATTGGCTCATTAACAACTTAAGTCACTCATTGGTGAAAAAACTACCCTTGAATCAGAGTAATGTAATTAAATATAAACACCACTTAAATAATTTAATTCCATGGATATTTCTGGAACAAAACTTATATTTATAACATTATTAATTAAAATTATCTAATGTAACTATTTCCACTGGTCTTAATTAATTATTTGTTCCTTATTACAATCAAAGGTAGTATTGAATAAGTTGATTAGTAATTGTCATGTTGACAGTTTAGGGCAGAAAACTAGAAGGCGTTACTTATTATTAAATGCGTGTAATAGGGGAATAGGGGGATGTTTGTATATTGTTTTCTAGTAATTTGGACAGAAAACTCTTACCTGTAGGAGTCTATGACTATGGACAGCAAGTTAAGCTGTATTTTGTATATTCTGTGCGATTTAATATTACTCTTCTTCAATATATCAATTCGTGTTTGCATCATAATATCAAGTAGACATAATGTGACAACTTGTGGGAAATTCTCAACTAGTGACTGAAAAACTTACCGTAATTTCAACAATGACGTGCATACCCACTTTTATGTGATGGCGAATCCAATACCAATCATTGTTCTTTATAGGAACCCACCTAGAACACAACACAGTAGATGAATCTCCCCAAAGAACACTCCATAAAAATAAAAACATCAAATAGTAAAACTGAACAAGATAAAAATGCTACAAAAGTAAAGCCTCAAAGTTTCTGATGATAACAATGAGTCCGCTGGTAATACAGGTAGATGAATCTTCCAGAAGAACACTCCATAAAAAATATAAACATCAATAGTAACACTGAAGAAGATAAAAATGCAACAAAAGCAAAGCCCCAATGTTCCTGATGATAACAATGAATGCATCGGTAATATAAAGCTACAGGAAATGGAATAAAATATGTACTAATTCATGGCTGAATATAAAGAAAAAACATAGATTTTGAAGATTTACTAAATAGGAATTATTTAACACCATAAACACAATACTGTTGACATGTCTTCAATAACCAGCTGCGACAAGAATACTTCTCTCTCATATTTAAACTATACATCATTTTTTGCTACCAACAGAATGAATCCAAAACACAAAGATTTAACTAGTCACCGTGTCTTTTAATATTTGTTCCTATCCCTGGGCTACCTAACTATGTCAATAGAGCATTTCAGTGCTACAAATGCTTATGAAGTCGCTTTTCCCCATTTTAGAAAAATACATCTAGTAGTTTATTTTTGTCACCTGCGAGATTAATTATGTATTCATTAAATAACCTCATTGTAATAGTGTAGCTACTCAATTAGCAAGATTATGATAGTGGAAGTAACTTGTTATTATCTGAGTAGTATTGCACCAATCCAAACAGTAAGGAAATTAAAACTACACTGGAAAGATTTGAAGAACACTAAAAAGACTAAAACAAGTATTGATAGCTCCCCATCATGTCCCCCGCCAATGTCAACAAATGCTCCTTGATAGAGATGCAACGTTGTCAC